TATTTCCGTCAAAATGTTTGTTGGTCAAATCGTTGAATTAGATAATTGAAGAGATAACTCTGAGCAAGAGAAAAAGATGTCCTGAATATCCAGACAAGCAATCCTCTGGAATTGTCTGATAAATAATTCTTAACAGCCTCCCTGACAGTACAGGTCATAACATGCGTGTTCAACACCCTCGCACATGTCAAAATTATGTAATTTAAAGACTAAGATAAAGGAAGGTACTTCGTAGTGAAGACTGTCTATTTTTTCTTCACCATTTTCTTATAAGTTTTTGTGTGTCACCATCGCACAAACTTCTTTACGGAACATCATCGAAAAACCGAAACACAAAAAAATTTTGCTGAAAACAAACAATATAAGTTTTGAATGCACTAGAAATTTAGTTTTGCATCACAAAAGAAAACCCATGAAATGATTGTTAATGACCCAAGAAATGAAACAAGCCAATCGTCGGGAAGAGCATTTAGTCACGTGGATTCGCTAGAAAAACAAGTCAGGTACGGCGCGCAGTTTAAAACTTTCAAGGTTTGCAATCACTTAACAGACAACATTCTTTGGCAGCACTTTTGGGCAATTCATATAACATGAAACAAAAAATGAGAAATTTCCCATCGCCTCAAAGAAGAAAACTGAGGACGACAGGTTTGTGTATCAATTTCACAACACAGTTTTACTTCGTGAAAAGCAACACTCATTCGGCCACGTGTCACAACTCAAGTGCGCACTGCATGGCTTCGGTTCAAACTTCGCTTGTTTAAGTGTTTGCTGGGGAATATTTTGAGGGGAAAACAGCTTTTCTGTACTATAATACGTGTAGCTTCTATTTTCTTCTAGTTTTGTTGTGCACAGACCTTGCCACAAAAAAGTAAACACAGTGATAATGAAATATATTCATGTATTAACACATAATCAGCGAGACCTTCTTTCAAGATCCGAGATGTACCTGAAAGGTCCCGGAAATATATTTTCCCGAGGATGGTGACGGTTCCTTGTTGTTTTATAAACAAACTAAACTTTTACTTTGAAGGTTAAGAACAAATTGGTTCCCGAATTACTTTCATAAGTTCAGACTTAATGAAAAGATATCTTTTCTTTGTGTGTGTTTTTAGCTAATTATAACATACAATTACTCTCAAATGATACTGATTTAAATCCGCAAGGATTAATTTTTGTGGAAATTTCCGTTCAATAAGCCAAAGAGAGAGAGAGAGAAAGAAACGCGCCTCAAACAGTTTTGATATTTAGGGGTAAGACGACTTTCTTTACATGCGTGTGCTAGTCAATTAGCAAAATAAAATAATTGAACAGATTTGTCTGCCCAGAAGAAAAGGATAGTTTGAATTCCACAATGGAAATGTTCTGGAAATATCATAATCTAATAGCCATCCATAAATGTGTGTCCAGCCCTCTCTAGCATTTGCTACGGCATGTTGTGTGGTTTAGTTTTTTAATTTTTTAAACTTTTGGTCGGTCTTGCTTGTTTGTTCTTTCATTTACATTTATTTTTCTCTTCTCAGTTTCAATTTTACCTGGTCTTTGAGAAATGCGATCCATTTCAATTACGTGCGTGGTTCAGTTGCATCCTCTCCGTGCAAGACAAGATCTGATTTCAGAACCAGTTTGACTCTGATGGGGACATTTTAAGATGTAAGGAATTGAAAATTGGGAAGATGAGACCTTTCAAGGTTTCTCTTCACCTCTTTCCAATTTCTTCTACATCTTATAATTTACTCTGATGGTCAGATGGGAAAGAGTCAGTAAGAAGACACTGATGGAAGACAAACACTCCAGGTCAGAAAGCTCCTTGTGGTTTGGGTGGAAGGGTTATTTTTAGTGCTCTGGATGAACCTTGCATCAAATTTCGGTAGAAGTCTGAGGACTTCATTCGGCTTAATTTAGAGTAGCTAGAATAGTTAGTGGGGTCCCTGTGGTGTGGGTGGTTCCTCCCATTAGGTTTCCTTTGGGTTCCTTTTCAGGTACTTTCGGCTTAGGATTCGGTCTAAATTTCGGCATAATTTTCGGCATTTCCGTTCAAGTTTACGTCAAGACATCGTCAGCTTCTAGTGTGGTACAACTTCGACCATCATCAAGTTCTTTGTATCAACTCTTCGTCAGCGCTGCAACTCCCTGCTTAGCTGAGCAAGAAAAAATTTAATTTTCATTTGTTTCACCTGATGGCAGCAATTCCACTGACTGCGATCTGGTGGAACAATTTCGACCAAATTGTAACTAAAAATTATGTGATAAGCCATTTCGGTCAAGAAGGTTCAACCAGATATCTTAATTAATTTGAGAACTGGATTGCTTAAGCCATTCAACTGAGGAGTAAGCTCATTTGCTACTTCTATCATTTTTAGTGGTTTAGCTCCAGTTAAGCCGCTTGTCGAGGCTTCAATCTAGTGAGGTTTAGGGGGCATGCATACACATATCAGTTTAGGTCACAAAAAAAAATTGGCCAATTGATTGTTACGCTATGACGGTTTAGCAGCTGTCAGGAAAAATTGTGGGCCAAATGGTAACAGATGGAAAATCAACATCATGGATTCCACAAAGACCTTCGAAGAAGACAAATGTTAAACGAAACAATTATGGCCTTATGCTTGCTTTTCAATGATCATACTTTAAGCCAATTGGACAAGACAGTTAATCAGCCGTCAGCTAAATTTTGTCATCAAAAAACATGACAGATCAAACCACTGGGGATTTCCTCAAGTATGCAGTAAACGAAAGCAGGTACGGCAACGCATAGATGACATCAGGTACGTGAACTTGTTTTAGAGTACTGTTTCGGCTTTCGGTCAGAATCTACTTCGTCCATCGATCAGTTCGACTTTCCATTTCGAACTCAATTGGCAACCAATTTATTATAGGCTGGGTAACGACTATTACTCGTTAGCTGGCTGCTGAAGATATTTGTATATCATCTGGGACACCCTGAGTGTTCCATCGGGGTGTCGACATTTGCTGACACAGGAACACTTGAGGTTTCTTCAGATGCAAAATTTTTCAAATAGGAATGCGCTCCCCCCCATGATTAATTCAGGTCTTGTGGCTTAAAATAGGAAATAATTTTGTAAATGATTAAAATAAATAAAATGAAGGAAGCTCTTGTCTCTGTGTCATTTTATTTAACTATAATTAACTAAAAACTACAACTTAGTAACACTAACAACAAAAATGATTAAACTTTTCAGCAAATTCTTCCGGAAAATGATAAACAAATTAAGGTTACTAACTCTTTCGATTTCAGGACACCGCACCATTTCAACATGGCCCATTTTCGGGGGCACATACTCCTACACTACTGGCTAGTCAAATTATCATTATTAAGTGAAAATACATGTAAAAGTATATTTTTCAAATAATAAAATCGGGAAAACTTCAGTCTCTTTGTGTTCTATTTAACTGCAAAGAACTAAAACACTAACCACAATTATTACTTTTCAGCAAATTCTTTCTACATAGCCCATTTTCGGGGGCACTACTACTGTAGCAGCTGTTTCAGTTTACCATTTTTGGCACAATTGTTAAAAATTGCTCATTTTTCGGGAGCTCACAGCTGTTTTTTTCCCCACGGAAATGGATTTGATGTTTCACCAGATCTGGAAGGACAAGCTGAAGGAGCTACATATAGATGGAAACAATCAAGATTCTTATTCACATGGTAAGATATAATGAATGAATAGAACAAAATTTTTTCTTTTCTTTTAAGCTTCAGAAAATTATTTTGAGCATGGGAAACCAGGTCTGAGCATTCAGGAGGAAATATACAAGAAGAAAGCAGGTATAATTGATAGTAATAATTATGTATTATAAATATTATGTAATAATTAATACTGTAATAATCATAATAATTAAGCTATATACTAAATAGTAGTTGTTGTGCTAAAAAATGTATAATTATGGTTTGGATGGAAGTTTAAAATAGATAGACCAGTTTCAGCTTACCTGTTATTCAGTTGCTGAAGCTGTTGATGAACTTGGAGTTGTTGTTTTTGTAGATACTTACTGAAAATACTTCTTGTTTACTCTTGCCAGGTGCTATGTATGGTCTTGATTGTGCATTATAGTTGGAGGTCATAACTTTTCAGGTTTGTTAATGACTAGTCATTTTAGACTGAACTGCATAAAGGATAAGCTTAAAAATTGATAACTGAAACACCAATAAGGGTAATTCAAATATCCTGAAGAAAACTGTTCATGTCAGGTCCTCCTTAAATGCAGAAGTGCCTTATATTTCTGTAGAAGAGGAAAAATCTTACTATCTTAGAGAAGATGTACATATATCTGGTGAAGGCAATAGCTGAGTCAGAAACTGTTTCATCACAACTGCCTGTCATGGAGGACAAAACTTCATTTGCACCACAAACAAAAGGTTGAATCATCTATTTATATCATGATTGCTCATTTTTCTTCACAATAATTGTAATGTTAAAGGATAATTCCAATATCTTGAACTCAGTTGTTCATGTCAGATGAATAAAAGAAGTTCAGAGAATAACATTCCTGTAATACAGGAGGGTAATTCAAATATCCTTAGCCACACAACTGTTCACACCAGGTCCTTAGATATTTGAAATGAATAATATTTGCAGACTGAAGTACCTCACATTTCTGTGTAGAGGAAAAATTGTAAAACTTTGGACAAGTTGTATGAACACAATGGCTGAGTTAAAAAGAAATTCCTCATTTGTCTGTAAAAGAAGACAAAATTACAAATCAATGTATTGGAGCAAAATGTTGGCTGAGCTTTAATATCATTGTTCATAAATTATCACATGAGTGCAGTTTATATTTTGCTAGGATGTCAATCAGTAAGAAGAATTGCTCATGGGCAACAGAAGCCATCATGCAAGACAGCACCTTCACAACACAAAAGCATCTTCCCTGCTTGAACAAAAGTACTTCCCCTAGAGCTCTTGCTTACTTGCAACACTTAAACTTAGTGACTGTTGATTTAAGAGATAACTGTCAATCAAGTGCAGTTAGGATTACTGTTTTAAACCATTACCTTTTCCCAACAGCTCTTTGTCCATATAATGAATACCACTGATACAATGACCTCAGCCCCATGCTATGAGGGAATTACAGGTTATACAAGGTCCATTTCACTTCCAGATGTGTGGTTAACACAATTTTAGCCTTTTCCTTGCCACTGATAATGGTACTCCAGAAAGTCAATTAACTGCAAGGGCAGCATAAGTCTTTTGACACATGTAAAAGTCCCTCACTGCTTGAATCCCTTTGATTAGATGGGCTCATTGGCAGTGCTGTATCAAAGAATCCCACTTTTTAGACTAAGCAGGGCTTTAACATCTGGGCTACAGACACTTTCTTCAGGAAGTGTAGTTAACTCATTTGCAGCCTTCCCTTGCCACTGAGGAATGCATGGATTGCTGGCTTAAAAACTTTGCAACAGCTGTCAAGGGTTTGGAGAACTGTTATCTTCCTGTACAAAAGTGGACATGACAGATGCAATAATGAAACTGCACCATCAGTAGAGCATGCATACACTAAACTTACAAGAAACCAATTAACAAGCTAAGGAGCTTTAATCAAGATTCTTCAGCTGGCAAAAGAAAAATTCATTCTTCACCTCTTCTGAGCATGGAGACCAGTGCTACCCAGGACCATTGATCTTTCTCATTGAAGACCACATGAGGGAACATTTCCTTGATGTCTATGACTAAAACAACAAGAAACTTGTCTAAATGGAAGACCAATCTTGAAAATATCTTCAAGTCGTGAAGTATAGGACCAGATAAATTTCATTCTTCAAGTAGACTACCCTTGCAATTCAAATGTTATGCATAATTTTCTGGTTTCTTTGACATCTCTATCTGCTGGCTCACACACTCTTTTCTCTGGTTTGTTCCTACCTTCCAGACACAGCCTCCCTCACCTTGTGTGAACATTGCTTCTTTGTGAGGTGCTTTGATTTGTGGCTTCTAGTTGAGTTTCTTCTCTAATATGAGTGCAAATGTTTCTCAGACATCAGGTGAAGAAAACCTCTAGGTTGTGATAGCACTCAACCCATCATCTAATTCAGCAGCAGTTGAAGGCAGCAACACTTTGTTTAAATAGACCCTAGACATATGGTAAAACCAAAGTGGATTTGAAATGGGCTCAGCATTGGTGGTCAGTTTTCTAACATTCTCTTTCAGTGAAGACAACACGTGGGAACATTTCCTAGACATTTAAGACTGAAAGAACAAGAAACTTGTCTAAATGGAAGACCAATCTTGAAAATATCTTCAAGTTCGTGAAGTATAGGACCAGATAAATTTCATTCTTCAACTAAACTACCCTTGCAATTCAAATGTTATGCATAATTTTCTGGTCTCTTTGACATCTTTATCTGCTGGCTCACACACTCTTTTCTCTGATTGGTTCCTACCTTCCAGACACAGCCTCCCTCACCTTATGTGAACATTGCTTCTTTGTTTATCTTCTAGAAGAGTTTCTTCTCTAATGTGAGTGCAAATGTTTCTCAGATATCAGGTGAAGAAAACCTCTAGGTTGTGATAGCATTCAACCCATCATCTAATTCAGCCTTGTTGAAGGAAGCAGGGATTTGTTTAAATAGACCCTTGACATATGGTAAAACCACAGTGGATTTGAAATTGGTTCCAGGCTCAGCATTGGTGGTTAGTTTCCTAACCTTAGTCATATCACTCTACAAGAAAGAAAAATGATAACCATTGGAAACAAGAACTTAGAGACTTGGCACACTTCTAAAGGCACCTGGCAAAACTGTCACAATTTTAAACTGATTGTGGATGACATGAGTCATATGCGTAATACTGCACTATCAGTACAGCATGCATAAACTTCCTGTATATGCCAGTGGTGTCAGGCTTCCCCTCTTTCCCACCCCCCCCCCCCCTTCCGCAAATCTGGTTCTATTAAGACTGCAGCATAGCAGAAGGCAACATCCTGGTGAAAGAAATGGAAGGCTGTTAGCTGTCTAGATTATATAAATGAATGTATTGACATTCATCAAGTCAATCATGAATGTGTTGTTAAACACACTTGGCTACCCTTGTGGGATGATACACTTGTTGCTTGGGGGTCAGAAATGACAGCTGAAACCAGACTTTTCTCATCCATTCTTGTAATCAAAAGTTATTAAGCCATCCAGTAGAGATGAAGCCTAGCCACTCGGGTACTCAAAATGGTGTGCCAGATAAAGAACATTTCTGGCATCATCTTTAGTTTGATGAGGACCTCACCTGATCCACAGATATAATGACCACTTCTGGAGGACAGTTGGGCAGAGCATTTGATTCCTTTCAAGAATCTATCAAAAATTTTTTTGATGACTCTTTTTTTGTTTTCAACACACTTTCTTCTTCCCATGAGTCAGATTTCAACAATGATTTCCCCTCTTTAGACTGTGCAGATTTTGACATTACTTACAAAAATGCCAGCATTGCATCAATTACCCTCCTATGACTCATCTTACAATTCCAACTGGTTTTGTGAACTTTGCTAGCAGCTTTGCAAAATTGTTTGATACTCTGCTTCCTACCTTGTCTGATCATTCATCTGATGAATTGAACCATATAATTACAGTGTCTTGAAGAAGAGGTCTGCCACATTGACCCTAAAGTTCAGTGAAGCCCAAGATTATTTCATAATTGATGCCAATCAGTTTAATTATCAAATCACTTTAAAGCTTCAACCAGCCCTGTCAAGAAATGTCATTTACCTGTTGGGCCAGCTCAGAAGGAAAGGTTGATTTCCATGTCTATTTTGATGTCACTATACCTCTTGCACTGTAAATTCAACTTCACTCTTTTAATCAGTTCTTCTGATGTGGGCTTTATCATTGTCAACACTAATCAATAGCTTTACCAGTTTATATAATCTTGCATGACCTTACTTCTCTTTCTTTGCTGTGCAAGCATCTCAAAAGTGCTGGCGATATAACATCAACCTTCACTCCCTCTTTTTGAGCATTGAATGGTCTGAATGCATTTTTTCACGAGTACAACCAATTATCATCTTAAATAGAAAACAAACATATTGGAAAAATCCAGACCTAAATGATTTCTAGCCCTTGTGGGATTCAAACCCATGAAAGTTGCATTTGAAATTTCTTTGTAAGTCTTTTTTTTTTCTGTGTAGTAGACAGTCTCTGTGTTTGCATGCAATTCAAAAGAGTTTATATTTTTTGTTATCACATCAGATCATCAATATCAAATTTAGGGCAAAAAATTCAAAATTTCAACAGACTTATTTCCTCAAATTCAAATTTAAATCATTTTAGTCATTTTTGACAGAATTTTGAGTACTGCATCAATTTAAATGTATTAAGTCATTGACAATATTTTTGTTTCATGATGAAACTGTATTTTGTCACTGGAAAGTCTAAAACTGGGCCCATTTTAGACTTTCTGGTAGCCACCTTACATTGAAAGGAAATAAAGCCTTTATTTTCTTTCATTGTAAGGAAAAAAATCAGAGTCATATCTTGTGAATGGGACTTCACACATATGAATTCCCATTTACAAGATAGGAGTCTGATTAAACAGTCATTGACAAATTTCCCCACAAATGAAATCTCCAACCAAATTTTCTGTCATTACAATGGAATTCAAATCCATTAATAAAGGTTCAAATGCTCTGAGCTCATAAGCTTGTAATTAGCACCAATGCAACTGAATCCAAGTCCTCTATATTACTTTAAAAAATCAAATAGTAATTATCCATGGATTTTATTCTAGCAAGGTGGAAAATCTTACATAAGACCATCAGATAAAAATTCCAACCATTTTCCACCAATTTCATTAATTAGCATTTGGAATATGAATTGTTTCAGAATTTTGTTTATCTACACACAGTATGGTGTAAAGAATGCTTTCAGAACTTTTCAGAGGAGTGACCATCTGCAGCAAGTGTTAAAAAAGAAGGGACCCAAGACTTCACACAAGCTGTTAAACAACAAGGACTAGCTTGAGGCAGCCAAAGCCACCATTGGCAATCAGGGGAATGACTGTGTCAACAAAGTCACACTATACACTGTCACTGCATATCAGGTAACTGATTTTTGATCTACAATTATTTACTCTGAACCAAAAATTGTCAATTGAAAGCAACAGCCTTATTTAAGAGACACTGGCATTATAGGCAATAAAAAAGTGGGATAATTGTCAGAAAATAAATTCTAGTTTTTCCAAATATTATAAAAACTTTTTATCAGGTCATTGTCACAAAATCAGTACATCTTCATTTAATATATAATATAATATAGATATTTTGTATACTTTTCTTGGTAGATGGTTCAAATATTCACTATAAAAATTTTCCTACAGAAGCCAGCCCTCTGCAACTACAACAGCCACAGCAAAAGCACATCCCAACTGCCAAAATGATCAAGGTTCATGGGAATGAATAAAGGCATCTAAAAATGAGGTACATGGCAACCAATTACCTTGAATGCTTTACTTGATTTAAGGAAAATAAAATGTGCTCTAGTTACTAGAAGCAAACATTCTGCAAACTGAAATACCCTCTGTATTGAATCCTTTCTTTTCATTTTTCTTTTCCAATTTTTTTTGGGGACAATTTACTAAACATTTCATTTGAAACTTAAAGCATTACTTTGACATTTAAATCTCAGCCCTCTCATGGAAAGGTTGTCATTTCACATCATTGCCTCACTTAATGATGAACTTTTCCTCTCTCCTCAAATTCAAGGTGGCTGTTGTGCCAATGTTTATTAACTGTAGATTAGATCATTTATTGTAGAGATTGGATTCAGTATCATTGAAGTTTGAAAACTTAAAACACAAACAAAGAAAGTAAAAGAAAACTGTTTTTGTGCCTGTAGCATGAAAGCAAGCCAAGATTAACCATGCTGAGGGAAAAACTGAGAGCCTCGCACAATAAAGCAGCTTAAAGGTTAGTATTGGCAATCTTAGCAATAGATGGAACCTAAATACATTTAGTAAAATTATAGACTGAATTGATAAGATAATGGGCCATTTTTGACATACAGTATTAAAGTTCAAACTGCAAGCAAGGCTTAGGAGGGAAAAAAAACAAGAGAAATCACATCAAGGTTGAGGAATGAATAATTTATTTGCTCTGTTTTATTCCCCCCCTGCCTCAGAAACATGTTTGAATTTTAATATACTGGCCTATTAAAAACAGGACTTCATCCTTTCAGGAATTACCTGAATAAATTTTAATCGCTACAAAAATTGTTATTATACAGCCAACCTTGATTCCATCTCAAGTTGATAACATTTAATCTAAAAAATATATCATCAATCACTTGGCATTTGATTGATTCTATTTTAACCAACTAAGGAAGGAAGTATCAGCATGAACCTATCATAAAATAGAAAACTGTTAGGAACTGCCATAGCATTTTCCATTTATTTTTCCTGGTATTATTTCTTGACAATCACCCACAGTTTTAAGGATTGAATTCTCCCTTATTTATATCATGTTATCTTTACTCTGCTTTCAGTCAGTGACCAATGAACAGTGATAACTTCTGAAATTAACAAGGAAAGCAATGATATTTATTTCACCTTTGCCAAGTCAGGATCAAGTTTTTAAAACCTAGACAGTTTGACTTTGATAGGAAAGGAATACTGGATACATAACACCGCCACAAGACAAAGAACTTTCTACTTCAGGACAGTCAAACTCTGGAACTCATTAGACTCTGCTCTTAAGTTGAAACTGACACTAAAGGACTTCAAACGTTGCCTGAAGAGAAGCCTTACCTCAAACTTTTTAGAGACTTAATTGCTTTTGTTATTTTTATTTAACTTATTTCTTTAATTAATTTATGTGATTATGTTATCTATTTACTAGATAATTAGCTCATTAATTTATTAGTTTATAGTTTTAATTATTTCTCTATTCTGAAAAGCCCATTAATGGGACAAATAAAGTATGTAGGTATGTACATGTTTTGTAATAGTTTAGTTTAATCTATAGACATAAATCCTGAAATAGCACACATAATATTATGCTTTGGCATTGTATCCTATCATAGGCTTTAAGAGCAAGAGAGTTTCAAATTATTTTTCATTTGATTTTTCAGTGGTGCTTAATTTGTCACACCATTTAGATTCAGTGAAGCAAACAACAAAATTTCTCAACTATGAGAGCTGTTATTGTTTATATAATTAATAACAGCTCTGAAAAAGAGAGTGAATGATCACATAAATAATAGCTTGGATGCTGTTATTTGAAGCAATAGCTTTGAAAAAGCAATTTCATACATGCAGTCACTCTTAAAATTCTAAATAATGAGCTAGAGCTATTACTTAGAAATTTTGTGCTGCATTTAAGCTATCAATAATTTCAGTAATGACTTTTAAGCTATTAATTGTGGACACAAATAATAGCATGAAAGCAATTATTTTGAAATTATAATAGCTTAAGAAATCCCCTTGAGAAATTTTGTTAGTGCTACAGCTCCAGTCTAATCTGATGTGATAACATTTAGCAAAGGAAAATAAAATGAAGATGATATGAAACTCCTCTCAGCTTATTAACAGAATTGTTAGCTTTCATACTTGGGCTTTTTCTAATCTAATAAACACAACTTAAAATCAGTGAGACTTGAATTTTTTCAATAAATTGGCTTTAAGTTCTTTGGCGTTTAGTAATTCAGAGGTTGGAACATTTTGAGCTTTCCTCTTGTTGTCTTCACAAGCTAATTACACTAATACTTCCTTTAATCTTCAACTAACACATAATGTGTACAAGAGGAGATCTAGATGTGCCATCTCTGGTTAAAAAACATCA